AGAAGGGTACCCAACATGCGTTCGGCACGTGCGTGAGGCACGTGTTTTGACGTGTGGGTTGTTCCCACCTGCATCTGGCGCGTCCTTTCTCCTTGAGAAGGCATGCAACTCGTGTTTTGTTCCGTCGGGCCTGTGGCCCTAGACAAGAGAGGTTGGCACACATCATATGTCGGAGTGTTTCGCACGTGGAGATGTGTGCGCAGAGGGCAAGTGAGAAGGAGAAGGGCTTCTCAGAAGGTGGCGGGGCTTCTCAGAAGCCCTCGCGCCTTCTGAGAAGTTTTCCGGTCATCGGGGAAGGCTTAGAAAAGAACTCCTCAGAAGGCCGGGGGATTTCCGAGCCTTCTGAAAAGGCCTTCTACTTCTCACTTCCCCCCGGGCTCGCCGCCGAAGAAATTCAGCAGGCTGGGGTGTCTTCAACATTCTCGGCACGTGCGCAATTGGCATGCGTGTTCCAAGTGTTTGGGCGCCAAGAGGGCATCCAACATGCGTGTGGCGCGCGATCTGAAATGGAGTCTGGGGGCCCGGGGGGGTATCCACCATGTTTTGACCGGCGATTTATTCTCGGCTGCAGAGGCACGTCAAGCAGGATGCGGGCCTGCCGGCAAGTGCCCCGCGCTAATCTCTTGCACCCCCGATGGCCCCAGGGGGGGCCATCGGGGGTGCAAAAAAAAACGATGGCCCCCGGGACCCACAGAAGCTCCGGGGCACCCTGGGGCCCCTCAAAGACTCGAGAGACCGATGCCATCAGATGGCATATTGGTCTCTTCACCGGCCAGGTGGGACCCTTCACCGGCCAGGTGGGGCCCTTCACTGGCCTCGGCATCGCTGGGACGTGTGCATTTTTTGCTCGGCGAGGGCCTTCGAGGAGTATCCTCGACCATTTGGCGAAGAAACCACGCACGAAACCGAAACGAACACAGGAAATGGACGTCCGAGCGATGGCCAGTGGCTGATCCGTTCACCGGCTGACTGGGTGTTTCACTGGCCACGTCTTTCAATTGAAAGTTCATTGCGTTTTTTCATGAACGCCCCAAGCCCCCAGGAATGAATATACATGGTTAGGGTCGCGGAAAGATTTTCAGGTGTTCTTTGATTTGTCATGCTTTTCGGAGGCCGGTGAAGAGACCGATTCTGGATCTGTGCCACGGTGTAAACCACGATGGCAACGCAGCTACGAGAAGGAGGAGGAGGAGGATGAGGAAGGGAACGAAGAACATGAGGATGAGGAGGACGAAGAGGAGGAGGAATCGGAGGAATCGGAAGAGGAAGAGCCCCGCGGTGCAGTGTCTCATAGGTTTCCCGAGGAGTCCCCAGTGTCGCGAGATCTCACAGGTTTTCCCAGGGACCCAAGATCTCGTCGGTTTCCCCAGGAACTTAGGACCTCATAGGTTTCCCCAGGGATCCAAGATCTCATAGGTTCCCCAGGAATTCAGGATCTCATAGGTTTCCCCAGGGATCCAGGATCCCATAGGTTTCCCTGGAGGCTCCTACGGAGTTCTGCTGTGAACAAGGGTGTGCGCACCAGCGAGGCGAGAGTCCAGCCGGGGAAGGGTCCCACTTGGCCAGTGAAGGGCCCCACCTGGCTGGTGAAGACATTTTCTACTTCAAAGATCGACGAAGGATGCGCTTCAAAACGATTTATGATAGATGGACGCAGGAAAAGCGGCTCAATCATCACAAGCTTGCGGAGGTCCGCACGAATTGCTTGGATCTGCGCTTGGCTTAAGTCGGGCCCGTCCCTCTACAGGAGGAATATATTCAAAAATAGTCCCAAAATAGTATGGGGACTATTGTTTGAGTATTTGTTTGACTATTTTGGAGTTTTTTTTGCATTTTTTCATTTTTTCTTTAATTTTCGTTAAAAAATATCCCTGTAGGGGGACACGCCCGACTTAAAACGCTTGGCCCCCCTCCCCGGCGCGAGGAGCCTGCCAGGGGCGGCGCCGGAGGCACAGCAAGGGGGGATCCAGCGCCGATTCAGGAAATCCGCGCGGGACTCCATCGGTTTCTGCGTGTGCCGCTTTGTATTGAGTCGGGCCCGTCCCTCTACCGGAGGAGTACAGAAAAATAGTCGAAAAATAGCCTGGGGATGATTTTGAGACCATTTTTTGACACCTTTTGGAGTACTTTTTGGGGGGGGGGGGTTTATTTGTCACCCAAAGTCACCCTGTAGGGGGACACGCCCGACTTGATGCTTGCTTGTGCCGCTTTGAATTCGTCGGTCGTGGCAGGCTCTCGTGGTCGCCTGTCCCCCGAGCCCGCCCGCAGGCCCCTCGGCAGGTTCCCGGGAGGCCCCTTCGGCAGGCTCCCGGGAGGCCCCCCGGAAGCCCTCTCGGAGAGGCCTCTGACCGGGTGCGGAAAAGAGGGGGGTGATGACTAGGGGGGGGGGGATATCATGGCGGGGGTCGTGATATTGTAGTGGCCTCCGGCCAGTGCCGCCGATCTGGGGCGCTCCGCAAGATGATGATCAGGATGATGCTGCGGGGGAGAGGGCAGGGGAGGGGGTCTGCTCTGCAGGGGGAGTCCGCTCGGGGGGGGGATATCATGGCGGGGGTCAGGATATTTCCCCAGATGTCATGGCGCCCCTTCTGATTTCAGCACGTCCCTGTCCCCCCCGCGGGGCCGCGCACGTGCCGCCGGTCATGATTTGCACCCCCCCCTCTTGGACAGCCCCCTCTTGGCCGCTCCCGATCTGAGGCGCAGCCCAGCAGACGTAAGTCGGGCCTGTCCTTCTTTCTACAGGAGGAGTTCTTCAAAAATGGTTAACACAGTCTGGGGACGATTGTTGGATTCTCTTTTTGACCATTTCGGGGTATCGTTGGACTATTTGATGTTTGTCGTCCAAAATACCCCTGTAGGGGGACACGCCCGACCTAACGGCAGACCTTCTTTTACATTTGAGAGGCTTCTGGGCCATTACCTACAGTCAGCCCGCATAGTAAGGATGGGCAACCTTCCCAAGGGTACCCATCCTTGCCTCGTCGGTCCATCCTTGGCCACTTTCGTTGGCCGCTTCCCGTTCGAGAAGCGTAGAAATGGGCGTCCAGGGCCCTTGCATCTCCATCGCGCATCCTCATGATACGGGCCGGCCGTAGTGCGGGATGGGCCGAAGGTCACTAGATAGAGGTGGCACGGTGCTCTGTCTCTGCTGCCTGCTGTTTTTCAGGAGGGGAAAAAACACACTGACACAATTAATCGTCGATCTCCGGGAAAATATGGGAAACCATGGGACGTGGGGGGGAAGACGACTATCCAGAAAATATATGAAAATATGGGGGATCCTGGGATTAGTGTGAATTTATTTGTGTGTCTCTTGGCCCGTTCAGTATTTCCCTGGTCGGGGCACGGGCCCCGGGTTTCTCTGTCCGCTCGGCGCCGGTCCCCGATCGATCGAGCGTCCAGCAGCTGACGTCGGGCCCACCGCGTGCAGAGATGCGCGCGCGGAGGGGCGTCTACCGTCAGGTTGGATATGTCCCCCTACAGGCGGATTCTGCAACAAAAAATTTAGAATACCCCAAAACATCAAAAATAATAAAAAAAAAAAAATGATTCAAAAATCGTCCCAAGAACATGTTCTGACTATTTTTGAATATTCCCCCTGTAGAGGGACATGCCCGACTCAAGTCTACCGTGCGTCACGCGCGGCGAGCGTGTCCATATCCGCGCCCTCGCGGTCCGGATTCTGGGGCGCGATGCGGCGGATACGCGGTCGCACGGGCACGTCCCGCGCGGGCATCCGCGAAAAGGCGCTTCGTATCCGCGGGGTCGCGGCCCAGGGGCCCAGCCCGTGGGGCCGCGGAAACGAATCTGTTTTTCGTCCTGCAGTCGACACGTGCGCATTTATCTTGTAGAGAACCCGCAGGGAAGCCTTTCCCAAGGCCTGCCCTGGGGCCTGTCCCTTCAACCTCTCCCTTGGCCCCTCCCTTGGCCTACCCCGATGCCCTTCCTTCCCCTGTGCCTACCCCAGGCCTACCCCTAGACCCTGGGGTGGGGTCTACCCTGGGCTACCTTGGAGCCATGGGTGGGCTCCACCCTGGGCTACCCTGGGGCCTGGAGTAGGCCCCAGGGCAGCCTTCTCCCCCCAGGTTCTGTACTCATGCGGCACGTCTTTTCGCGTCTGTGGGCGCCAGGGGTCAGAGAAGGAAAAGCGTGTGGAGGTCCGCGCGGATCTCTCGGATCGGCGCGGGGCTCCCCGTGGTGGCGCCGCCTCCCCGCGCCGCCCCAACGGCGCGCTCCACGCGCGGGGGGATAGCCCCGCGCCGATCCAAGAAGTCCGCGCGGATCTCCGACAGGTTGTGCTTATGCCGGTGCTGCTTCTTCTTCTTCTTCTTCTTCTAAAGGGAAGGGACGCATCCTATGATACTATGTGCGTTCGGTACGGGAATCGATGTGCAACCTGCAGGCTGAGCCGTATGCAACATGTGTGTGTGTGTGGCACTGTGACTTCGGCGTGTGATGTGTTCCCGCATGCACCCGCCGCGTCCTTGTCCTAGTGACTGCATTTCCGTCGGGTCTTTGGCCTTAGATCTGAGGGAGGGTCCAACAGCAGGCGTCGGTTTTTCACACGTGGGGATACATGCTCGGATGAGGTTTATCCAATGTGCATTCGGTTCGTGCGCATTTGGCATATGTGTTCCAATTGTCTGGTCGCCAAGGGGGGTATCCACAATGCGTGTGACATGTGATGTGATGCAGAACCCGCAGACCAGAGAGTTATCGAACATCCGTGCTCTTTCCACATTCACTTAGCACGTGAGTCACCTGGTACGGGCACGGGCACAAGGTTTGCTTTTCCGATGTGCATGTGGCCTTCTCCTCCTGCTCCTCCTCGCCCTTCCCCCTCTTCAGTACCCCTTGCTCCTCCGCCTCCTCCTCTTAGCCCATCTCCTCCCTCGTCGCTCCCCCTCCTCCACAGCCCTCCTCCCTCCTCCTGGGAGCCGCAGGCGTACCTGGTGGACAATAGCGCGCTGAACTCCGGCGCCAAGGGCATCGGCTACAGGATGAGCAAGGACTTCCACGACATCGACGGGGAGCGCACTGCGCACTGGAACACCGTCGTGCACGGCGTCGAGGCGGGCGGCGGCTGGGTCCTGGTCGACGACCGCTTCCTCCCTCTGCGCGTCCGGGGCCTCGCGGTGCTGAGGCGGCTCGAGCCACGGGAGGCCGTGCGGCTGCAGCAGGCCCTCGCTCGCCCTCCCTCCCTGCTCGCCCTCCCTCCCTGCTCGCCCTCCCTGCTCGCCCTCCCTGCTCGCCCTCCCTGCTCGCCCTCCCTCCCTCTCGCCGCTCCCCTGCTCCTCCTCGCTCGCGCCCGCGCTCCTCCTCGCTCCGGCTCTCGCCCCTCCGGCTCCCTCGGTGGCCCCAGGCTGGGCGGAAGGGCCGCCGGCTTGCCACGGCAGGGGTGCCGTGTCCCCACGGTCTGCGCGGAGCGCCTTTGTCCCGCGCGCCCAATCGAACAAGAGTGCCGCAGCTTTGGGCGGAAGGCCGCGGCCTTTCTCGGGGGGGCGCGCGGAGGTGTGGTGTCCTCCTCCTCGTCCTCCTCCTCCTGCTCCTCCTCCTCATCCTGCTCCTCCTCCTCCTGCTCCTCCTGCTCCACCTCCTGCTCCTCCTCCTCCTGCTCCTGCTCCTCCTCCTCCTGCTCCTCCTCCTGCTCCTCCTGCTTCTCCTGCTCCTCCTCGTCCTCCTGCTGCTCCCGCATCCTTCCTTTGCCTCGCTCGCTCGCTTCTCCTCAGGGTGAGGGCCAGGCGGAAAAAGCTGGGAGGCCGCTTGCTTCCCGGGGCACACCGTGTCTGTTTCTGCACGCGGCAGGGGCCGAGGGGAAGGGAAGCAGGGGGGGGGGTATAAGGGTTCCGAAGACGATCCTGGGAGCCTCTTCTTCTCAGTTGGCCTGGCTTTCCTGCGCCTCCAGTGATCCGCAGTCGTCTGCTTGCGCCACTGGAGGCCACTAGGGGCTACGGGAGGCCACTGGAGGCCATTGGAGGCCGCGGTGGGGCCACTGGAGGAGACACTGGAGGCGGCTCTAGGCTTGCGGGGGGCCGCTGGGGTGCACTGGTGGCCATTGGAGGAGCCACTGCGGCCACTCTGGTGATTACGAAAGGCTCCCAGGAGCGTCTTCTGAATAAGGGCAAAAGGGCGGGGAGAATGACGAGGAGGCGGCACAATAAACAAGTGCATCAACATAAGAGACGTGGGCGTTCTGCACGGATGTCTTGGATCGGCACTGTGCCCACCTGGCGCTCTCCGCGCGCCATGGCGGGGTGAGGGTCCAGCGCAGGTCCTAGAAATCCACGCGGAAGTCCGAAAGTGTGTGTTGTGTAGTTTCTTGCTCTTATATGGGTGGGGAGAAGGACAAGGTGGCGACATACAAGGGATACTGATCAGTGTGTTGTCTGCGGCGACGTGGTGCGTTGCACAGCCAAGTGCGCAAGGAGGTTGCAGCCAAGGTGTGCAGATTCGTTGTTCCTACTTCTTCTCGGCAGGTCAGGTCTGGCATGTTCTGGCCTGGCCTGGTCTGGCCATGTGTGGTCGGATCTGTTCTGGTCGTGTCCTGAGAGGTCCAGTCTGGTTCGGTCTGGTCGAGTCATAGGCTCGCCTGTCGTAGGACGCAAAGATGATACGGTGATTTCCTTATGGTCTGTCAGAAGAAGAGGGTAGTAAAGTTGGCGCAAACCCTACCCCAGGAACCCCAAGTAGTGAGTTGCTGCTTTGTGGCTGTGTGATGTACGCGGTGTAAGCTATGTGGTGCTGTTGCTGGTGTCAAATCATGAATGGTCAACTCCACTGCTCGCGCAATCATCCCACCCTCCTGCGCGCAACCTCTTTGGGCTAGATCCATGCGACCATGAGTGCGGCTGCCGATTGGCTTGGCATCGCTCGGACGTGTGTTTTTTTCTCGGCGAGAACCATCGAGGACCATCCTGGACCACCGAGCAAAACAGCACACGCACGGAACCGAAGCATGCACGGGAACTGGACGTCCGAGCGACGGCAAGCTGGAGCTTACCAGAGCAGCTCTGCGGCCGTGTTGGCGCGCGGCCGCTCGCTCGCAGGGCGCCGATGCGGTTTGGTGCAACGGATGCGGCCGCGCTGGCGCGCGGGCACTCCAGTGCGGGTCGGTGACCCGGGCGGGCGCGGTACCAGGGTGACTTCGTGTGCAACTCCTGGGAGGTCAGCTTCTGATTCTGCCCTGGTCCGAAAGCTGGCTTAATCCGGCTAAATCCTGCTACATCCCGCTTAATCCCGCTTAATCCGGCTTAATCCCGCCTAATTCGAGGCCCATTCTGGCGTGACAGCTCCCAAATGGGGCTTAATCCTCCTTAATCTTTCCGACGAAAACCTCCCTGTAGTTGCTTCCTAAGATGACGTCGACAATGGCGGCAGCGATGATGATAGTAGCAATGGTGGTGACGACGATGACGATGATGACGGTAGGACCAATGGCGGCGCCGATGCTGGTGACGACGGTGACGAGGGTGGTTGCGTTGATGAAGGTGGTTGTGTTGATGATGGAGGCGGTGTCGGCGATGGGGTATGATGGTGGTGGTGGTGATGCGATGGCGCTGACGAGGGCGATGATGAGGAGATGATCGCGTGCAGGCAGCACACCGGCTCTTCACATGGCTCTGGAGAGCCCTGTCTTGAAATGTTTCGGCAGCCAGTGGTAATCTTGAGTCGGGCGAGCCCCTCTGCAGGGGGAATATCCAAGACTAGTAGAACATGGTCTGGGGACGATGTTTGGAGTATATGTTGGGGCATTTTCGATGTTGGTTTGACTACGTTCGTCCAAATCCCCCTCTAGGGGGGCAGGCCCGACCTAATGGTAGTGACAGGTGTTCGACGCGCGCGCGTGGCGGGGCCCGCGTGCGGCCTCCCCCCTTGTGATCAGTTCGTGCGGAGCCGCTCGCTGCGTGGCGGCTGGACGCGGCAGCGGCGCGGCCGCGGGCGGAGGCACCGCGAAAGCTTGCGGGGCCCACCCAGCGCGCACGTCGGCAGCGAGGCGGCAACGCGGCGGCAACGAGGCGGGCGGAAGCACCGCGAAAGTCTGCGGGGGGCCCACCGCGGCACGCACGGCGGCATGGGGCCCGCAGCGGACGGCAGCGCGGCGGGGCTTCGGAGGACCCACGCGCGAGGCGGCACCGAGGCGGCAGCGGGGCGGCGAGGCAGCAGAAAACGCCGAGGGGGCCACCCATCGCAGGAGGTGGTAAAGAGGCGGCCGAGTGGCGGCAACGAGGCGAGACCTCCCCAGACCCACTCAGCGCACGAGGCGCCGACGAGGCGGCGACGTGGCGGCAATGTGGCGAAGCTTCGCCCGACCCACCCAGTTCACAGGGTGGCAACGAGGCGGCAACCTTGCCAGACCCACCCAGCGCACGAAGCGGCACAGAGGCGGCAACGAGGCGGCAAGTGGCGGCAAGGATTGCAACGAGGTAGCAACGAGACGGCAAGGAGGTGGCAACTAGGCGGCAAAGGGCGGAACTGCGGCGAAAGCGAAACTTCGCCGTACCCACCCAGCGCACGAGGCGGCAACGATGCGACAACTTCGCCGGACCTGCCCAGCGCACGAGTCAACAAACAGGCGGCATCCTCGCCAGACCCACTCAGCGCACGATGCGGCAAGAGGCGGCAACGGGCGGCAACGTTGCGAAATTTCGCTGGCCCCTCCCAGCGCACGAGGCGGCAACGAGGTGGCACCGAGGCGGCACGTGGCGGCAACGTGGCGAAACCCCGCCCGACCCACCCAGCGCACGGGGGGGCAACGAGGCGGCAACCTCGCTGGACCCACCTAGCGCACGAGGTGGTGAAGAGGCGGCAAGGGGCGGCAACGTGGCAGAACCTCGCCAGACCCACCCAGCGCACGAGGCGGCAACGAGGCGGCAACGGGCGACAACTTGTCGACACCCCGCCAGACCCACCCAGCGCGCGAGGCGGCAGCGGTGCGGCAACGGGCGGCAACGTGGCGAAACCTTGCCGGACCCATCAAATTCCCCAGCAACCGAAGCAAGAGCCCCCAGGCGCAGGTACTGTTTTGGGCTGGTGTCTTGGCCCAGACAGGTTAATCAGCACTCTCCGTGCTCGCGGATGCCCTTGCACTGTGCGTGTCGGTGCGCCGCTTGTTCCGACGTGCGGACTTGCGCATTGCGGAAGGCGCCGCGGCCACCAGGGCAAACGACGCCCCTCGGACGCGGTGGGTTCGCTGCGAGTTTGCCACGGTGCTGGCCTCGTCTCCTCGAGGCGCGGGATGCAGGGCTTGCCGTGGGTTTGCCGGGGTGTCGGCGTCGTCCGCTAAGTACTTGGGCGCGTCGAGAACAAAGTCATTGAGGATTAAAGAACCCCTAACCCTAACAGCACGATGAAGACGTAGCCTCACTCAGGGCTCCGTCTTCGCATTAGGTATGATACTTGTGGGCGGTTTGGTTCGACGCATCTGCAGAAAAGGCCCCGCATCCCTAATGTCCCTGGCCCTCCTAGCTTAGGTCCCCTCCCAAAAGGGTTCGGGATCCTTTTTGTGGCTTGATCACAGAGGGCGCGGCGACACCATTGAGCTTTGCCTGCGCTTCAAAATGAGCCCCCCGGGAGGGGCGCTCCCCCCCCGACGCCGACACCCTCAAGTCGACCCCTGTCGCGGACAGTCACCGCAAGTCGGTGGCGCTCCAGCCCTCGGCGCGGTGCGCCGCCAGGGCGAGGCTGACCCCCCTGCGGGGGGGGGGGGGGGGCGCCTTACCCCCACGCTTACCAGCCGACGCAGAGTACTCCAGATTTCGTAATAGAAGGGATGGGGTCTCAACCCTCCCAGACGAGAAGTTTTAGACCCTCCCAGACCATCCATGAAAGTGCGGCCCTTTGCCCAGACCCCCCCGAACCCTCCAGGACAGCTCAAATCAGACCCCCCCCCAAATGTGACCCCCCCGACTTTATTATGGAATCTGGAGTAGCCATTCCTCGAGAAGAAGGGAGCCCCTAACCGTCCTGATTGTGAGGAATGCGAAGCGATTCGGGCAGTGGGTGTTCCAGAAGCGTGTGGTGTCTACCAGCAATCATTGATAAGCGTAGTCGATTGGTGTGTTCGCTGCAAGATCCTGAGGTGGATGGGGATCGCATCACCCCCTCGGTGCTGGGGTAAAGCACCTACGGCATAGATCCTGATAACACAGTGAAGACGTGGCCTCGCCGAGGTCCCCGCCCTTGCACTGGGGATCTTAACTCCTTTCGGATGATGCATGTGGACAGTTCGGTTCGATACATCTGAAGACAAGAGGCCCCATCCTTAATGTGTTTGGCCCTCCTAACCTGTGTCCCCTCCCAAAAGGGTTCGGGGCCCTTGTTTGGTGCATCCGCCACTGCCGTTGCTTCGCACCGCAGCAGGCGCGCAGTCCGGGGCGGATCGGGAGTCGGTGCCCGGAGAGCGCCCCGCCCGCGGAGCCCCTCGGATCCGCCTCATGGAGTTGCGGTCCAGGCGCTGACAGGAGTGGCGCGCAGGCCCTGGCTCTTGCACGAGGCGAGGGTGCGGACAACGCGAGGCGGGATGAGGAGGGGGGGGTCCTCCTCCTCCTCCTCCTCCTCCTCCTCCTCCTCCTCCTCCTCCTCCTCTTCCTCCTCCTCCTCCTGCTCCTCCTCCTCCTCCTCCTCCTCCTCCTCCTCCTCCTCCTCCTCCTCCTCCTCCTCCTCCTCCTCCCCCTCATCATCCTCATCCCCATCCTCATCCTCATTCTCCTCATTCTCCTCCTGCTCCTCCTCCTCCTCCTTCTCCTCCCCCTCCTCCTCCCCCTCCTAATCCTCATCCTTGGAGTCACCCTCCCCCTCCTCCTTCTCCTCCTCCTCATCCTCCCCCCCTCCTCCTCCTCTTTCCTCCTCTTCTCCTCCTCCGCTTCGTCCTCCCCCCCCTCTCCTCCTCCTCCTCCACCTCCTCCTCCACCTCCTCCCTCCTCCTCCTCCTCCTCCTCCTCTCCCTCCCCCTCCCCCCCCCCCTCTCCCCCTGCTCCTCCTCCTCCTCCTCCTCCTCCTCCTCCTACTCCTCCACCTCCTCCTCCTCCTCCTGCTCCTCCTCCTCCTCCTCCTCCTCCTGCTCCTGCTGCTTCTCCTCCTCCTCCTCCTCCTCCTCCTCCTCCTCCTCCTCCTCCTCCTCCTCCTCCCCCTCCTCCTCCTTGCAGTCATCCTGGTCTTCCCCTGGGGCCATCGTGACCATCACAGGGAGGCAGGGGCCGGGGGGCTACGGAGGGGGCAAGGAAGGAATGAACGACAACGAAAACGGCGGGCTCCGTGCTTTAGACCACAGTTCTGCAATGCAAGGAGGACCACTTCGGGCCCAGGAGTTGCTCTGGCTGTCGGGCCGTTCCCTGGATTCAGGTCAGGGAACCCCGTCGCGGCCGGGGCTCGCCGTGGACGGAAGACCCCCTTTTCCCCAGGCATGCGGTGCTCTGTTTCTTCCATGCCATCTTGTGGTGTTGGTCCTCGTTTCGAATCGGCAGCGCCCCGCGTCTCATCTCCTTCTCTCATCTCCTCCTCTCCTCTCCTCTCCTCTCCTCTCCTCTCCTCTCCTCTCCTCTCCTCTCCTCTCCTCTCCTCTCCTCTCCTCTCCTCTCCTCCTCCCCCTCCTCCTTCCATACCTGCCTCTGCCCTCCGCATGCCTCCACCACCATCATCACACATCCTTCGCACATTTTCGTGTCCCACCAGCCCGTTCAAAAGCCCTGCTCATGAGAGTTGACGGGGGAAAAGGGACGAAGAGACAGCTGTAGTGAAACAAAGCGGGCAATCCGGGTGAGCAAATAGAGATCTTTGGGAGCAAGTGGGTGGCCTTGGAGGGCACCTTCGGGCCATATCTGGGGCCCGCGTGTTGGCGATAGGAGGAGGACGAGGAGGAACACGATGAGGGCTAGGACGAAGATGAGGAGGAGGAGGAGGAGGAGGACAACGAGGACGAGGACAGAGCCCTCAAAGTCTCCTTCCTCTTGGAGCCGTCTTGGGACTCTTTTTGGGGATCTTGGGGTCCTCGTGGGGCTCTTTTGACGGTCTTGAGGTCCTCTCAAGGGCCCTCTTGGAGCTCTCGTTGGGGCCCCTTGGGAGCCCTAGAGGGTCTCTTGGGGCCATCGTGGGGACCATCGATCAAAAGGGGGGGGCCCCCGATTTGCCTTGCCCCCTGTGTTCCTCCTTCAATCTTGTTATGCCTCCTTTTACTCCTCCCTCCAGTTTTCCTGAGCTGTGAACTATCGGGTGGCGTCGGGTGGCCTCGAGCTGCCAGCATTCGTATTATCGAACATGCGCCTTGTTAGTATTTTGACGTTCGACTTGTAGGAAAGGGGGGCATATTCTCAAACATGGTACGGCACGTTCGTTGACATGCCATTTGTTCACATACATCTGGCTCGTTTTTTCCTGGTAGTGCGAATTAGGTCGGGTCCAGCTGACCCGTGTGAGTCTATATGTTGTTCTCTTGGGGCTCTTTTAGGGCACTGTCTGGGGGGTCCCCGAAGTCCTTTTGCAACCATATTGAACCGAACAGCTTCGGAGCCGAAGCAATCCCGCTCAGGTATCACATGCTGCGGATCACATGGACACAGACCTCGATAGGGTTGAGTTCGTCGACACGGATGGCGATACCGTCTTGTTCACGAAGAGTGGTTCTGGTAACATTGATTGTTCGGTGAACGGCTGCGTCAAGGTCCGATGCCTGACTGAGCTGGTCACAGATGGCTCTAAGCTGCGCATGAAGGGCACCCCTGCTGGCAAGTGGAGTGGTTCATGGAGTATGGCACCTCCTGACATGCGCTCTGCGGACGAAGCTGTGGCGTTATTTGGCCGAAGGAAGCACGTCCAGGCACCACATGCGCGGGTGGGGGCTGAAGCTGCGGAGCACGTCGAAACGTCGACACAGCTCGTAACACATTGTGGTGCCTGACTGAACTGCGTGTGAACGGCCACGGGGCCTCCCCATATGCCCCCAAGTGTCAAATTCCGTGTCTTCCCGGCAGAGGGCTCTAGCCCAGGGCTCTCTTTGACCAGGGGCTTGTGGCCCTTAGGAAAGTCGCGCGGCGCTCTTCAGATTCTTCGCGCGCATGAATACGCGCGCGGAGGTTCACATGCGTTCGGCGCATGCGTGGGTGGCATTTGTTCTCACGCACGTGGGCGCCCCGATGGCATCTTGCATGTGCTTGGCACGCGTTCCAGCTTTCAATCTGCAGGCTAGGAGGGCATGTACAGTCGGGGCGCTGAGGAAGGAACCCTTTTCGTTCGGGAGGGGCTCCGTGTTCCTCAGTTGTTGTACAGTCTACCTTAGGTTTTCCTTTGGTTCTCGATTGGGAATCGAAGTTTAACTTATGGGAAACAGGGGCCTCGTTCCTTAATTATCGTTCGTTAGGTCAACGCCCCAACTGTAGGAGGGCTTGTAGCATGCTCAAGCCACTCGCCCTGACGTGCAGTGATGCCGACGAGCAGTGGTCGTAGCGGCATGCGGCGTGCCACTGGCTGGGGCCAAAGCATCGAAGACCTTGGCCATACAGTGGGGGCGCGCATCACGAACCCATCTGCTTTTCGTCCTGGGTTTCTTCGCTCCTCGCGCTGCGCGGTGACTTCCCGCAGCCGTTGAAGGAGTTGCTGCGTTCAGGGTGCTCCGGGTTTCCCCTCAGGTGCACCTCGCGCACGGGTTCTCAGGGCTGGGTTTCTTGCGAGGGTTTCTTACGGCCGCGCCCGCACTGTAGTGCCACGGTCTCGCTTTGCTACTGTTGGGGGGGAGGAGGACCGCTCTGCTGACCAGTGGTCTGTGAAGCACAAGTCAGCCTCCACGCCAACTCACGTGAGGCACTCGTGAGAGCTAGTCGTCAGAGTGAGGGGGCCGAGCGGTCATTCATTGTCCCTGGGTGCGTGGCTGAATACGGAATTCGTGGTGAGAATTCTGCTTGTTGCCTTGTTGTTGTTGTTGTTGTTGCTGTTGCTGTTGTTGTGCTTGTTGTTGTTGCTGCTGCTGTTGTTGTTGTTGTTGCTGCTGCTGCTGTTGTTGTTGTTGTGATTGTGGTTGTTGCTGCTGTTGCTGCTGTTGTTGTTGTTGTTGTTGTTGAACTCTCATTTTTGAAGAATGATTATTGTTGATCCCCCCCGTCCGGTGCACATTGTTTTTTCGATTGAAGTGCCCTTCCCGGGGCTCGCACCCTGTTTTTTATAAGGGGAAGTCTTGAGGGTCAAACTATGTCGTTGGCCCCCGGTTTACAACAACAACGGTTTCCGCCTGAGACTTCTCACAATGTATTGAAGAATCGCGCTCTCGCTTAGGACTTCCTTGCAATTTGCCACTGGGTTGCGGCTCCCGCTTGATACTTCCTCACAATGTATTGAAGAATCGAGCTCTCGCTTGGGACTTCTTCGCAACTTACCACCGAATCGCGGCTCCCGCTTGATATCTCCTTACAATTCAGAACTTACGCTTCCACGACCCGCCCGCTCGACCCGCCCGTCTGGGCCCGCCCGCCCGACCAGCCCGTTAGGGGCTGCAGTCGCCGCTCGCTGCCCTTCGCCCGCCTTCGATGCTCCTCGCTGCCCGTACTGGTTCCGCGGTCGCCTTCGCTTGCTGCCCTTCGTGGCCCCGTTGTTGCCCCCAGTGGCCCCGTCGCTGCCCGTTGTGGCCCCGCATTATATGCCCTTCGTGGCCCCCGCTCGCAGGCGCCCGTCGTGGCCCCATACGCATGCACTTCGTAGCCCCGCTGTCGCCCTTCGTGGCCCTCTCGCTGCCCTTCGTGGCCCCTTTGCTGCCATCAGTGGCCCCGCTGTCGCCCTTTGTGGCCCCATCTACGAATGCCCTTCGTGGCCCCCGCTCGTTCGCTCCCGTCGTGGCCCCATATGCATGCCCTTCGTGGCCTCGCTGTCGCCCTTCGTGGCCCCCTCTCTGCCCTTCGTGGCCCCGTTTCTGCCCTCAGCGGCCCCGTCGCTGCCCTCTGTGGCCCCGGATTAATTGCCCTCCGTGACCCCCCGCTCGCGCCCTTCGTTGTCCCATGCGCATGCGTTTCGTCGCCCCGCTGTCGCCATTCGTGGCCCCCTCGCTGCCTTTCGTGGCCCACTTTCTACGCTCAGTGGCCCCGCTGTCGCCCTGTCTGGCCCCATATATACATGCCCTTCGTGGCCCCCGCTCGTTCGCGCCCGTCGTGGCCCCATTTGCATGCCCTTCGTGGCCCCGCTGTTGCTCTTCGTGGCCCCCGCTCTGCCCTTCGTGGCCCCGTTTCTGCCTTCAGCGGCTCCGTCGATGCCCTCTTCGGCACCCTATACGTATGCCTTTCGGGGCCCCCGCTCGTTCGCGCCCGTCGTGGCCCGCGCCAACAACGGCTCCCGCCCGATACTTCCTTACGATGTATTGAAGAATGGCGCTCTCGCTTTGGACTTGCTTGCAATTTACCACCGAATCGCGGCTCCCGCCTGATACGTCTTCACAGTTTATTGGAGAATCGTGCTTTCGCTTTGGAGTTCCGCATTTCTCCCAAATTATCCCCAGTCCCTCCTCCAGATTCCTCCGTGCGCCCCCCGCTCCTCCGCACTTTTCCCTGCTCCTCTTCTGCGCTCCTTGCCGCTCCTTTTCTTGAGGCCCTACTCTTGTCCACTCCATCCCAATCCACTCCACATCCCGCGTTCCTCTCGACACGGTTGCAGTTCTCACTATCCTTCCGCCCCGCTCTCCCAACATCCCGCTTGCTTTCAGGGTTTCACGAAATTTGTTTCTGACACCAGTTAGCGGCTGTACGTCCCCCCGTCGGGGTATCCACGATAAGTTTTTTTTTTGTTGTTGTTCAAGGGGGTGGTACGTGGCGCTGTTTATGGCGCGACCCATGGCGAAACTTATTGTCAACCTGTTTTGGAGCGGCTGGCGCAAGCCATGGCGCAAGCTGAATCGCCACTCGCAGCGCAAATCATCGTCCTCCCTCCTTATTGCCCTCTCCACCCTTCCTCCGATCCCTTCGTCCTCATTCTCCCCCGTTTTCTCTTACCCTTCGTTTTCAAGGGCTTCACCAACCACGCGTGGCAGTGAATGATTATACCCCCCAGAAGGGGGCACGATCGAAGACGAAGAGGGCGGGTATCCAGGGTTTGGGATGTGCAAATTGAACGAGACGCGAGCAGATAAGAGCGAACAGTCTCAAACTGATTGCTATCGTTGGTATTGTTGTTGTTGTTGTCGGTGGCGGCGTTGTTGTGGTTGTTGAGTTTTCACTTATGAAGAATAATTATTGTTGATCCCCCCCGTCCGGTGCACATGGCTTTTTCGATTGAAGTGCCGTTCCCGGGGCTCGCGCCCGGTTTTTTCACAGGGAAAGTGTTGAGGGTCAAACTGTGTCGTTGGCCCCAGGTCTACAACAACAGCGGCTCCCGTTTGACTTCCTCACAATTTAGCCAGGACCCCCGCTCCCGCCCGAGATTTCCTCGCGCTTTATCCAGGAATCGCGCTCTTGCTTGGGACTTCCTTCGGATTTAATCTCCCGGCGCCCTGGAGTCGCGCTCTCGCTGGAGACTTGCTTCGCTATTGAAGAATAGCGCCCGTGCTTTGGAATTTCCTACAATTTATCCAAGCGCCGCGCTCCCGACACCCAGGCACCCCGGAGTCGCGCTCACGCTCAGGACTCCCTCACAGATTACATAGGAATCGGGATATCGCTGCCCTTCGTGGCCCCGTTGCAGCGTTTCGTGGCCCCCTCGCTTTGTTTCGCGTCCCCGTTGCAGCCCTTCGTGGCCCCCTCGCTGCCCTTCGAGGCCCCGTTGCAGCCCGTCGTGGCCTCCTCGCTGCCCTTCGTGGCCCCGTTGCAGCCCTTCGTGGCCCCCTCGCTTTGTTTCGTGGCCCCGTTGCGGCCCTTCGTGGCCCCCGCGCTGCCCTTCGTGGCCCCGTTGCAGCCCCTTGTGGCCCCGGTGCAGCCCTTCGTGGCCCCTTCGCTGCCATTCGTGGCCCCGTTGCATCCCTTCGTGGCCCCGTTGCGGCCCTTCGTGGCCCCATATATGTATGCCCTTCGTGGCCCCCGCTCGTTCGCGCCAGTGGTGGCCCCATATGCATATGTCCTACGTGCCCCAGTTGCTACCCTCAGTGGCCCCATCGTTGCCTTCTGTGGCCCCGCATTATCTGCCCTTCGTGGCCTCCGCTCGTTCGCGTTTTTCGTGGCCCCATACGCATTCCCTTCGTGTCCCCGTTGTTGCCCTTCGTTGCCTACTTCGTGTCTTTGTGGCCCTGCTGTCGTTCTCTTTCGCTCTCGCTTTCGCTCGTCGCCGTCATCCTCGACGTCGTCGTCGTCGCCGTCGACGTCGACGTCGTCGTCGTCGTGGTCGGTTCCTTGTCCGTCCCTCTTGGGGTCGGGTCTACGGTCCGCGGCCGCCCCGCCGATCAACGCTGCCGCTGGCCAGGCCGACGGTCCGCAGCCGCCCCGCCGCTTGCCGGGGCCTGGCCTGCAGGGAAGAAATGTATACCCCCCAAAAGGGGTTCGATCGAAGACGAAGAGGGCGGGTATCGATGGTTTGGGAAATAGGCGTTATTGGACACTCGAGCAGATAAGGGCGAACAGTCTTAAAATGAGTGTAGTTGTTGTTGCTGTTGCTGCTGTTGCTGCTGTTGTTGCTGTTGTTGTTGTTGTTGTTGTGGTTGTTGTTGTGGTTGTTGTTGTTGTTGTTGTTGTTGTTGTTGTTGCTTGTTGCTTGTTGCTTGTTGCTTGTTGCTTGTTGCTTGTTGCTTGTTGTCGTCTTCCCACCTCACACACCCGCGACCCCCCCCCGCGACCCACCCCGCGACCCACCCCGCGACCCACCCCGCGACCCACCCGCGACCCACACCGTGACCCACCCCGCGACCCACCCGCGACCCACCCGTGACCCACCCCGCGACCCACCCGCGACCCATCCGCGACCCATCCGCGACTTACCCGCGGCCCACCCCGCGAACCACCCCCGACCCACCCCGTGACCCACCCTCAAGGGAAGAGGAACCACCCGGACCCGACATTTGACGTTTACGAAGCGGCCTTGGGCAGTTACTAAACAGCCTTGTCCTGTTCGATTCATTCCTTGTGTGCGTTCACTAAACGGCTTCGCTTGTCGGGGTGATTATTATGGGGTGGATTTTCTGCTTTTCTACATCCGCGACTCAACAGCGACCCACCCGCGACCCATTTGCGACCCACCCGCGACTTACCTGCGGCGGGCTCGTTGTATAATTAGTGGAACTTTGGCGCTTGCGGCGGGCTTCTCCACAGTCTCGCAAACTGCCGACGTCGCCACCGCCCCCTCACTCTTATCCGCATCTGCGGGGTGCTAGGTATCAAACCTCTTTTCAAGTCTTCCAACAACGCAACGCCTGATGGAGTGCGCATGCGGGTGCGCTCTTCTGGGCGATAGGAGGAGACACAGGAGAGGAAGGGGGGGAGGTGGGGAGGAGGGGACCAGGAGAGGGGAGGCGGGAGGAAGAGAATGTGGAATCAGTTGTGTGATCTTCGATGGTGCTGTTTGCGTGATGTTTGCCACCGTTGGCTTCAGGAGACCCTGGGAGGCCAGATGGCGGTGATAATGATTACGACGATGAGCATCCTCGCGAAGGTACGGGCGAAACGCACGGACCGCCCCCGTGACTCGCAGTCCAAGCGTTGCAATGAGGACCGCCCTGGGCTCAGGAGGGGCTTCGGTTTTCGGGACGTTCCTTAGCCCTGGGCACGGGAGCCTTCGGGGGCCCCCAAACGGGGTGGTGACCACACCATGTGGTGCGTCGGTGGGGGTTCGGGGGCCGTGTTTCCCCACGCCAACGTCGCAGATGCATCGTCGACGTCGCCGATGCATCACCGATGCATCGCCGATGCAGCGGCGATGCGGCGCAATCCTCCGACCCCATCTACTCGGACCCCATCTAGGAGTCCTCTGGGTGAGGAATCTCAGGTTGACTGGTCTGCTTGGGAGGGTGGGGCCGGGAGAAATGGGGATATCGCTACCCGCAGGCGGTCGAAGGCTCCGGGCACTGCATCCGAATGCTATTGCTCGTGCCAGTCATCCTCCCGACCCCTTTCCCCCCCAGCACGATCACTGTTCTCCTCAGCAGCCCGTGACTTCAAGGCTCACAGTCGTGCCCTGAAAAAGGAACCCTTTTCGTTTGGGAGGGGCTCCGCGTTCCTTAAGTGCTTCACAGCTTGCCTCAGGTTTCCTTTGTGTTTCCGATAGGAAATCGAAGTTTAACTTATGGACAAGAGGGGCCTCGTTACTTATTTAGGGTTCCTTAGGTCAACGCCCCGACTCTACGTCGAGCACGTCCTTCTACAGAATCTTCAAGAGCAGTTCGAAATATAGTCTGGGGACGAGTGCTCGTGCTTGTTTGATTGTTTTTGTGAGCGTTGTTGGGCTATGTTTTTATTTTTCTGCCCAAATCCGCCTGCCGGAGGACATGCCCGACCCAATTCCAGGCCGTGGGCGCCCCCGTACAGTCAACCCCAACCCGCCTGGGAAGGATGGGCAACCTTCCCCAGGGTACCCTTGCATCCCTGCCCGTCGGCCCATCCTCAGCGACTTTCGCTGGCCAGCCTCGTTCGAACAGCGTCAGCATGGCCCTCTTCAAGCCTCTTGCATCCTTCAACGCGCATCCTCGTCATACGGGTCGACTGCATGCGCGTGTCTGAGGCTCGAGCCCAGGGGGCGCTCCCTGAGACCCGACGCAGCGAGAAGGTTGCAACGCCGTTAAAAAGTCACGCCCGGAGCCCCAGACCCGATCCCTCTGCGGCATGTCTCGAGCCGGATCGACCTGCGAGGGTCCCGGGGCCCGAGACGAAAGAGCGCAAACGATCTGGCTTCGGGGTGCGACAAAGAGAAGTTGATACGGAAAAGGAATGGAGGAGGAGGAGGAGGAGGAGGAGGAGGAGGAGGAGGAGGAGGAGGGAGGAGGAGGGAGGAGGAGGAGGAGGGAGACCAGGATCGCAGGGCTGCCGCTGGGCCCAGGTCGACCACGCGTCAGAGTGACCCCTCGCCGGAGTGACCTTTTGTGCGGGCCATCGGGCCCGCGCCCCTGGGTTTTGTCCTCCTCCTCCTCCTCCCCTCCTCCTCCTCCTCCTCCTCCTCCTCCTCCTCCTCCGCCTCCTCCGCCTCCTCCGCCTCCTCCGCCTCCTCCGCGCCCCCACAAGCTGCGCACCGAAGGCCACTCCTACCCAGGGTCACTCTTACCTGGCCTCGCTCGGACGTGTGCGTTGTTCCTTCGGCGAGGACCATCGAGGAGCATCCTTGACCACTGGGCGAGAAAAAACCAGGCACGAAACCAAAAAAAACACGGGGAACGGGCGTCCGAGCGAGGGTCACTCTCTACGTCCAGCCGACCAGGGGCCTCCGCCGCGGTGGCCGCCCGCCGCGGGCCCCACCGGCCCCCGGTGCCCCGCCCCCCCTGCCGTTCGAGGGCCCCCCGCGGCCCGAGGCGGGGAGAACCCCCCCCCCCTGGGCGTGCGGCGCCCGGGCCCCGAGGCCGCTGGGGGAATGCCACCCCCTCCTGCTCCTCCTCCTCCTCCTCCTCCTCCTCCCCCTCCCCCTCCTCCTCCCCCACCTCCTCCTCCTCCCCCACCTCCTCCCCCCCCCACCTCCTCCTCCTCCCCCACCTCCTCCTCATCCTCCTCCTCCTCCTCCTCCTCCTCCTCCTCCTCCTCCTCCTCCTCCTCCTCCTCCTCCTCCTCCCCCTCCTCCTCCCCCTCCTCCTCCTCCCCCCCACCTCTCTCCTCCCCCCTCCTCCTCCCTCCTCCTCCTCCTCCTCCTCCTCCTCCTCCTCCTCCTCCTCCTCCTCCAGCAACCTCGCGGCCATGCCAAATCAAGCAATCAAGCAGTCAAGCAATTGGCTGGGGAAGAGGGGGCCCTGGGCGCAACGAGCTGCGGGAAACCCTGAGGAGGAGCGTTTCCAGCGCCCTGGGGCCCACCGGTGGGTGCACTTAAAGTGCTCCCCCCCCCGAGGGACTCCCTCGCCCCCCCCCCCGCCCCTTTGACTTTTGCCCCGAAGATGGCCCCAGTGGCCTCCAGCATGTTCCCGCAGGGCTCCCTAGCGATTCTCAGAGAGCCCGAGAGGCCCAAATAGGTTCCAGGCTGGCCCCAAGGCGGCCCCCACGGGTGCACAAGATGCCACCACAGACAGCCCCAGACCGCCAACATGCTTCAACACTTGCAGAATGTCATCTGGATGTTGTGCATCCCGGTGGTTCAAACGCTTGGTTAAGTATGGATTCGATGGGGGATTCGGCCCTGAGATGACCCAGGGCTGCTCCAGGAGGCCCCTCAGAGGATCGAAGAGGGCCCCCAGAAGAGGAGCCCTTTACGGGCGAAGAGGGCCCCGAGACGGCTCACGGCGGCCCCATGCGCCCCGAGATGTCGGAAGACGGCTCCTGAACGCACCAAGCGAGGCCAAGAGGGTCAAAGATGATTTCAAGATTGCTCCGAGAGTTTGCAAGAGGTTCCCCAGGGGACCCCCGTACGTGCACACATGGCCCCAAGATGGCAGTGCGAAAGCCTCAGGGACGACGATGAGAAAGATGAGGAGGCGGAGAAGGGGGATGATGATGATGATGATGATGATGATGATGATGATGATGATGATGATGATGATGATGATGATGATGATGATGATGATGATGATGATGATGATGATGCTGATGCTGATGATGATGATGATGATGCTGATGATGATGCTGATGATGATGATGATGATGATGATGATGATGATGATGATGGAGAGGAGGAGGAGGAGAAAGAGGAAGAGGAGGATCCCTCCATATGCCCATCTCCATCACTCTTTAGTTACCCGCGTCTGTGTCATCATCCTCTTCATTCTTGATAATCTGTATCATGATCTCGTTATCTTCATAGCTCTCATATTCATCCTCTTTGTCCTTTCCCCCTCTCTTCCCTGAGTGAGAGTTGGTCTGCTTCATCTTGTGGCAGCTGAGTGATATGGATCGGCGCGTTCTACCTGGAGCTGGAACTCTTTGGGGAGTGAGCCATCGCTGAGGACCTGGATTGTTTTCCAGTTACTGCCTCGGTTCAGTCTTTAATAAGACTTTTGCCGCCGATCGGACGATGTCCGATTGCGTCTAATCCGAATGACACTCCAAGGACATGGCCACGCCACCTTGACAGAGAACGTCCGCGACATTGGAGTATACATACGCGTGACGTCCCTTCCCTCCCCGTACCCCTCCTTCTCTTTCCAGGACGGCTATAGGTTCGCTCATTTTTGACGCACGGAGCAGGCTCCGCCCAAGCACGGGTCCAAAGTTGACTCCAGTGTGTCTTCCGACGCGTCATTTAGATACACTGATTCGGGCAGGACTCCGCTTATCGTTCGGGGCATTCCCATGTCTGGTCGGTGTGGATGATCTGCTCTTGGGCTGCCTCGCGCCCATGTGCCAATGTCTTGTTCGCGTCATTGAATCATGTGATCGCCAAGCCCTTGTTCGGAAAATGTTGTCGGGGCGAATTCGATCCCATTGCTTGCGTGATAGGATTCTTGAACACGTGGTGCCATGATTGTTCTAGACGATCCGCACCCATGCTCCTCCACGGAGTCCTTGTGAGCCTCACCTTCGAGTGTGCAGTTGCGCTGGTGTAAATTTGATCATCCAAACGCATTTGCACGACTCTCTATGTGTGTGCGTGCGTGTGTGTGATCTGGCTCGCATGTGTGATGATGGGCTTCTGCGTATTCCAGTAGTTGCGTATTCTCGCTCAACCTGCGTTGTCTCACCTGGCAGCGTTCATCAGTTCGGCCTGTTTGGCCGGGCCACTCGGCAAACTGGCAGGGGGGGCTCTTCAACGGGGATGGGACTTTTGTTTTCTTTCGCGTTTTTTCGGGAGGCCCCATGGCAGACCGTACAGTCGGGGCCCTGAAGAAGGAACCCTTTTCGTTGGGGAGGGACTGCGTGTTCCTTGATTGCTTCACAGTTTGCTTTGGGCTTTCCTTTGGTTTTCGATGGGAAATCGAAGTTCAACTTGTGGATGAAAGGGGCCTCGTTCCTTATTTAGGGATCCTTTGGTCAACGCTCCGACTGTAGACAGCAGAGCTCCTTCAGGGCCAACCCCGAGGGCCCGACAGAGAGGCATGGGGCTTGCAGGGGGAAGATGCTGGAGAGCATCTCGAGCGGAGGCACATCCACTCAAACAGTAGGAGCTACGAGGCCGTGGTGATCGTTCTTTTAGTCATCGTCTTGCCAATCGGCGCGGGCCATCGGACCCCCCCTCCCCCCCTTCCCTGGAGTGGATCTTGGCTGTTTTTGTTGGCGCATGTCTCCATCAGGTGGAGCCTCCCCCCCAGAGGACGCACTTCTGCAAACAGTCGCACTGAGCAGAGGTCCGGAGCCAGACCCCCCGCCCCCTCCCCCTCCCCCTTGCCGCCCAATGTCGAAACGCCGAAGAGGAGGAGGAGGAGGAGGAGGAGGAGGAGGAGGAGGAGGAGGAGGAGGAGGAGGAGGAGGAGGAAGGGGAGGGGGAAGGGGAGGGGGGCGGGAGCTCGCGTCGGATTTCAGACCGGGCCACGTCGTTGTCACGGAGGCCCCGTCGGGCCGACCTGAGTCCCCCGTGCCCGGGTCTTGCGTCTCCCCGATCGTGGGCGGTGCGCCCCGTTGGCGCAGGCGTGGCGCGTCGGCGCGTTGCCCGGTGGGCGGCTCGCGGTGCGCCCCGTGTGCGCCCCGCGCGGAGTTTGCGGAGGACGATCATTGGAGAGGAAGCGTGTTGCCAGATGATTTCCAGACGTCTAAAACACGTGTGCAACATGCTTCAAACATGTAAAAAGACATGTTCAAAGCATGTTCAGAACCTTGTTCCGACAGGGTGTCCACTGTCGTGGCACCCACAACGCTAAGCGGCCTTCTCTTCTCCCCCCCCTCCGCGGCCGCCCGCTCAGGCCCTCTTCCCACTCCTTGCGCGCTGGCCAAGGCGCTCTTCGGCGCCCCTGTTTAGCTCCAGCGCTGGTGCAGGCAACGCTGCCTCGCCGCCGGCGAAAAAACAGGTGCGCCCCGCGCTGCCTGCACCGCGCCGCTTGCATGGCATGGTTTGCACCACTCTGCTCGCACCTAAGAGCTTACACCGCAGTGCTTGCAGCACGCAGTTTCCCCGCACAATTTGCACCACGCAGCTTGCACCACACACACGGCTTGCACCACACTGATTTGACCACATGGCTGAAACCACATATCTTGCACCACACACAGATGGCACCGCGTTGCTTGAAGTGCGCTTGCATCACATGGTGCGCACAACATAGCTTGCACACCCAGAGTGCAATAGCTCACTGCTCGGTGATACACGCTCACAAAGACTTCCTTGTACATCTTGCCAGTCCAAATGAACTCCTGCTGCCATCCAGCGGAAGGGCACATGGGTACATAGAGTGGTGGGAGGCTGATACAGATCTGGGTTTTGAATTGCTTCGAGTACTCGGACAACCCGCAGGCCTGCCTGTCATCCTCTACCCCTTGAGCGGGATGCCTATTCGGCAGCGTGGGAGCATGTTCGAATACAGTCCATGGAAGATCGAGCAGTGACTGCGCCACAGTCCACATGATCTGTTTTGTAACCTGTCTGCAGGATCTGAAGGTCGTCATGGTCGTCAAGTGGGATGCCCAATGTCCCTCCTCTTCATCATCATCATCATCATCATCATCATCATCATCATCATCATCATCATCATCATCATCATCATCATCATCCTCTTCCACCCCTTCCTGCACCTTCTGTTCACCCCGCCTAGGGGTATGCCCGTGAGGATCCAGCAGAGGATGGAAGCAAAGTAATCCTGCCAACGCCACGAATCAGAAGCCCTCGGGGGCCGTTGAACAACTAGGGTCATGAGGAGTCGAACTGGGAGGAAGCAAGGGGAACAAAAAGAGAGAGGGGCGGGCGGGATCGACAGGAGGGGGGATAATGAAGAGGAGCTGCAGGAGGGGCGGAGGAGGGGCGGATGAGGGGGATGGCAAGTCGGTGGAAGTGATGAGAACCAGGAGGACGCTGACGTGGGTCAAGAGGAGGAGGAGGAGGAGGAGGAGGAGGAGGAGGAGGAGGACGCGGAGGAGGAGGAGGAGGAGGAGGAGGGAGGGAAAAGCGGAGGTTGGCTGATAAGGAAGAGGGGGCCGAGAGAGTGGCAGAGAGGACGAGGAGGAGAGGTGCGAGAAGGGGGGCCAGTGCAAAGCCAAGACCCATCAATGATGTTTCAACAAACCCTCCCTCCAATTGGCCCCACCCCCTCGGCAGCTGCCATCATAGGGGCTGCTGGGGGTCTTGCCCCCATTCTTGTACACTTCTTATGTTATGGCGTCAATTGCCCACGGAGGGGGCCGAGGACCTCCCTACGGCCCCTCGGCCACCGAAGACGGCCGTAGGGAGGGGTCCAAACGTACCTCCACCTTCCAACACCTTTTTACACATACCAACCTTTTCCTGATTTTCCTTTTGTCACTGAGGGAAGTGCCCCATTGGAAGACAACCGTGTGAGAATCCTGAACCGTGCCAGAGTACCATTCCTGGGACCTCCAGACCGCGATTCGACGCAACTGTGGCGTCCTGACGATCCCGGAGTGTGGCAGAACACCAGTCCTGGGACTCGAGAACCGCGAATCAACGTAAGCAGTTGCGCCCTGACAGCCCGACATCGTGAAGAACCGCCATTTCTAGGACGTGAACCATAAGACCCCTTGAAACTGTTGTAACTCTTACGAAGAATCTGCGCGGCACTAAGGGGAGAGCCACATGTTGGAAAGGAACGCCCCCCATCATTGAGTGTTAAAGGCGAATGTGCACGGCGCTAAGGCAAATGTGCACGGCGCTAGGGCGAGAGCCGCATGTTGAAAACAACGTGCCCTCCATCACTGAAGCTCTTACGAATTTTTAGGACGAACGTGCGCGGCGCTAAGGCGAGAGTCGCATTTTGAAAACGGGCCTCCACCCGTGAAGCTGTTTTGCAATTGCTACAGACGAATCTGCGCAGCGCTAAGGCGAGAGCCACATGTTCAAAACCACCCGCCCTCCATCCGTGAAATCATTGCAGCAAGCTCCCAGCTTAAGGACCACCCACGGTGAGGAAGTCTCAGGCGAAACGCCCCGCTCGCCCTACCGACGCGCCTCGGGGAACGACAGGGAGGAGTCATTTATAAGAAACAAAGATCAGAATGAGGAGGACGACGAGGGGGGAGGAAAGAAGGAGGCAGGGCACGCTACGAGGGAGGAGCCGCCCTCTCGATAGGTGCCCCGCCGGCATGGTGGTCGATACCCGTATACCAATATTCCCTTTTCTATATTTTTATAATTCCGGGGGTGCGGACCCCCCCCCCGAAACGGGACCCCCCGGATCCGTGCCACGGGGGCGGCCGAAAATCTTTTCCAAGGCGTGCACGCAGGCGGGCGGCAGTGCCAAATCGGTCGGCGCAAGCCCACAGAGACACCCAAGACAGTCCAGGATATCACCCGGGTAGCCTTGAAGACCCTCCGCGAGAGCCCCAAGACCTTTCTCAAAGGGGGCCCGAGAAAACAAAATCATTGAATTTCCCATTGGTTTTTCAATGTTTTGAGCGTTCTCGCTTTTTCAGGTTTCCGACGCTCCTGGACCGCCCAAGAAGCTCCCAAAACCGCTCCAAGGCGGCCCAAGAAGCTCCCAGAGCGCGCTGAGAGCGCCCCAAGACGGTCCAAGACGCGCCCGAGATGGCCCACGAACGCTCCAAGACGGCCCAAAAAGGGGCCCCAGGGGGGACCACGAACTGAAAATACGACCCTCCCGCCCCGAGAAGGCCCAAGGAGGCCCCAAGAGAGCTCCACAGGGCCTCGGGAAGCCCCCTAAGTAGCTCTGGTGAGGCTCCAAAAACATCCCAAATTGTTACTTGTCCATGGGTTTTTCAATGTTTTCAACGTCCGCGCTTTTTCGTGTGTCC